ATAGACTTCTATACTAAAACAGGCGTTTTGCACCACAATCGAGTACAAAAGATAGATGTTGTTACTGTGACGTCACCTGTTGGTTTGCAAATTCCTGTTTTCAAGTCTCAGGATGAACTTTTCAAGCATCTTGACTGCAAAAGATATATGTGGGGAGGAGTTGGGAAGACTTAAACTGCCTGCTCATTAGCTAACGACTAGCTAAGTCGTTAGCAAACAAGTTCGCAGAAAATACCACAGATCATCCTTTTGGAAACGAAATCAGAAAGTTGCTTCTCGTAGACTTTTTATGAGACTTTTTGCAACCTTAGATATCCCCATGGTGGTGTTCACATAGACCACAGTTTACGACATTTTACCACAAGGAATGAATGCTAATTGTGTGGATGATAATTTAATCTTTAATCTTCCCTTTTCAGACCATAAGGTTATATAGACTCTGCTCCGTGTTGTGGGTTTTTTCTTATATATGCCATATCATTATCTGAGTGTAACTCTTGAGATCTTATTGACTGGAAACTTTACTTTGACCTGTCATTAGAGATATGAGCCACAGCTTGTCAGTTGTGTCTATACTTGTAGTTCGGTTGACATTTCCCGCCGTAATGTCATATCTAAACCAACCCTTCGGGGAAGAATGCTAGAGCGCATCGCCACAGGCAAGAGTTGGGCTTCCCTCATTAGGAATGCACAGACTAGTGGACATTAAAACCTCCGAGAAAATAAGGTGACCTTCTGCATCCAGGCGTGACATCTCTCCCAGAGAGATGAGCATCCAGACAAACAATTCCCATCATCCCCTTTCTCCACGACCTGGTGAAGCGTGATATAGTCCTAAAGCGCCAATTCAACCTCTGTGTTCTGCAGTAATTAACTACTGCAGAGGTAACAACTGCTCAGCACAATAGTTAATCAGGCAGGCTCCTTGGTAGCCTTCCCCTTTTTGCGAGCACGGCCAAAAACCAGGTAGACAGAAGTCTGCTGAGAGCTACCTGTGGCTAATACTGCGGTAATGATTTTACCATTAGGAGTGTGTGCACACAGCGGAGCGGCGGCCTGCTTTCTGGCAGAGGATTAAATGACTGGTTGCCCATTCAGGCACCACCCGCGCATGAACTGTTGAGTACTGTGGTTTGCTGATGAGTGTTTTCAATGCTGAAGGACAAATGCATTGACAAGAGCTTGGAGTTATCCTGTTTTTCATGAAGGGAAAGGACAAAACAAGTCAAACTGCTTTGAATTGCACTTTCCAGCTGGTGTGGGATTATATGATCAGTTCTTACTGCCACTATTACCGTGGGGATCGCGTTTTTGTGAAAGACCGGGTTAATCTGC